AAACATAAACATAACCGACTCCATGAGACACGACTATGTTATGCATGTGGTACCCGTTGCTTTGTCCATAATTAGGGACATTTGGCATAAATCCCATCGTCGCTTTGGCATAAAAGCCCTCGTCGCCAATGCAATGTATGTGACTCGACAACACGACATCACAAACACGACACAACAAACAACATCATCATCGCACATCAAAATTTGGCATAAAGCCCACGTTGCCATATTTATCCACATCAAGATAAACATATCATCGCATCGCATATCATCAAGTATTCATTATAAATAAACCGTCACAAACATCATGTTTAATCACATCACATCATTATAAAATAATTCACTAAATTCTAAACACGGAAAAATAATCAAACATCAATAATCGTTGCAAAAGTCATTCACAATAATCAGCATCAATTATAATCATTAACGTCGCAATCGGATTGTCCATATGCGACTTAAACCGACTAAAACGCAACCCGGTTCAACTTAACCGTAAATTGACTTATTTCTGATCGCTCTGTTAAAAACTCGTAATCTCGAAAAAGTAACCTCACCACGACGTTCTACACGTCAAAATTAGTTAGCACGTCAATTTTCGTTCAATTCGGAGCAACTAACTCCGTCGCCGAAATTGCCGAAATCAGGAAATCGGAACATAATCGGGTTCCAAATTAAATCGGCTAACTTATGTCATAATTGTATTTAATTAATATAATTAATTAATATATTAAATTATGAAAATAAAATTAAAACAGAAACTATTTTTCTAAAAAAAAAAAGAACAGAATTATGAAACAGAGGAAATGGGCAAACGGCAAAACATGAAATATACTCCCTCGTTCATGAAAAAGGGACGAATGTCCCATTGGTACAAAGGGGTTTCTTAACTTTCCATTTCCAATTTTTGAAAACAAACGGCATACTGTGTTTTGTTTCAATACTGCATAATTTCATTTTATAAACTTAACATACTGCATAATTCTTTATAAACTTAATATAATTAATATAATTTAGTTTTTCTAATTTAATTTCTATTAACATAACAATAATCCAACAACACTAACACCTAAATTAACTCTCCTAATTTATCTCAACAAATCTCAAGAACCCTAACATCAATTTTATCCCAAATCAAAATATACCAAATCAAACCCTAACTATAAGCATTGGAAAATCAAACCCCTTACCTTAGATGTTTGAAATGATTCTTGATGTCCCAATCACCCAAAACCCAAGCTTTGTTCTTGCCCCACTTCTTCTCTTCTAAGACTCTCTTGCTCTCTCTCTGTGTTTTAGTGTGTTATGACAAACCAATATGTGTTTGGTTTGTTTAGAACAAGACACTAGCAAGCAAAAATACTAAAAAGCCATTGGTCTTACTACTAGTTATAACACTAATAATACTAAATAATGTTATTAACCCAAATAATTAAAATAACTCCGAATAATTAAGTATCGATCTGTATAATATTTTACCGAACCGAACAGAATAAATACCGGACCGAATAAAATAATTATCGGTCCCTCAAAACAAATACCGGGCCGAATAAAATAATTATCGGTCCCTCAAAACAAATACCGGATCGAATAAAATAATTACCGGTCCCTCAAAACAAATACCACACCGAATAAAATAATTACCGGTTCGAATAAAACGTCGCCGAATATATTAACAGACATACTAGTTAATATAAATATTTTCGTCGCAAAAATAAACGTCAAACGGTAACTCGAAAATATTAATATAATACAATATTAAATAAAACGGGGCGTTACACTTGTCATGGTGCTCTTGAAATCTTTGATCATCTGAACATCACTGCCTAAAAATATAAGGTCATCAACATAGAGAGCAACAAGTAATACATTATTTCCATTTTTCTTCACATAGAGGGCAGGTTCATAAGGACATTACTCGAACCCATTCTCTTTTAAATATGTGTCAATGCGTGTGTTCCATGCCCTAGGTGCTTGCTTCAGCCCATACAGCGCTTTCTTCAGTTTCAACACCTTCTTCTCTTCTCCAATTCTCCTATATCCAAGTGGTTGTTCGACATAGATTTCTTCTTCGAGCACACCATTCAAAAATGTTGTCTTGACATCCATTTGAAATATTGGCCATTTGAATCGAGCAGCTTAAGAAATGAGTAATCGAATTGTCTCCATTCTTGCAACAGGCGCAAACACTTCGTCATAGTCAATTCCTGCTTTCTGTTTGTATCCCTTCGCAACCAGTCGTGCTTTGAATCTTTCGATTTCTCCTTGAGCATTCATCTTTTTCTTGAATACCCACTTTACACCAATGGGTTGATTACCTTTTGGCAATTCGACTAGCTCCCAAGTGTTGTTGCGTTCGATTGCTCTAATCTCTTCGTCCATGACACTTTTCCACTTCTTGTCTCGTAACGCTTCTTCGACACTGATGTTTTCAGCATCTTCCAGAAGGCACACAAGATGCACCTCACTTGTTGAATCATATAAGTCTTGCAAACTTCTCATTCTAGGTTGTAGAGGTTCATCTTCATCTTCAGTTTCTTCATGTTCTATTGGAATACTTGTTGGTACAACTACAGTTGTTTCTTCGACTGCGTCAATAACCTCTGTCGAATTGTTCCATTCCCACTTGCTTGCTTCGTTCATTTGAATGTCTCTACTCCCGATCACTTTCTTGCTTATGGGATCGAAGAGCTTGTACCCTTTCGTCTTCTCATCATATCCAATGAATATGTACTTCTGACTTTTGTCTTCAAGCTTTGTTCTTCGTTGATCTGGTACATGTGCATAAGCTATACTACCAAATACCTTGAGATGAGAAACTGTTGGCTTCTGTCCACTCCATGCTTCTTGTGGTATTTTGTCTTCTAACTTCGAATGTGGACATCTATTCTTAACATAAATAGCACCTTGTACTGCTTCTGCTCAGAATTCTTTCGACACGTTCTTGCTTTTGAGCATTGATCGAATCATGTCAATAATAGTTCGATTCTTCCTTTCAGCCACACCATTTTGCTGAGGTGAATATGGTGCAGTTAGGAATCTCCTTATGCCCTGTTCTTCACAGTACTTCACAAAGGCCATCGAAGTATACTCACCTCCTCTGTCAGATCAAATTGCTTTGATGTGTCTGTCTGTTGCCTTCTCTACCATTACTTTGAACTTTTTGAACACCTCTAATGCTTCCGATTTTTCTTTCAGGAAGTAAACCCAGGTTTTTCTTGAGAAGTCATCAATAAAATAAATGAAGTACCTTTTTTCACTGAAGGATTCTGGAGTGATTGGCCCACATATGTCAGTATGTATCAATTCGAGAATATGTATAGCTTAATACTCTGCCTTCTTTTGAAATGAGGTTCTTGTTTGTTTGCTGAGCACACATTCTTCACAGAACTTTCCTTCGAAATCCATGTCTGGTAGTCCATGCACCATGTTCTTTTTCGCCAACCTTCTCAAACCAGCATGATGTAGATGACCAAAGCGCATATGCCATAGTGACACTTTGTCTTGTACTTCGATTTGCAGACATTTCTCTCGAACGTTCCTCGGGTTCAGTTTGTACATTCGATTTCTTTCCATTTCGACACGGGCAATCAGATGTCCTACTTTGTCCTTCAAATGCAGTGTTCGATCTTTAAACAGGTGTTTGTAACCACACATGTGATTACTTGCTCCTGAGTCAAGATACCAAACATTGTCATTATTGGTGTTGATTTCGTTTTGAGCCATCAGGAGAAAGCCTTCATTCGATTCAGCTTCCAAGACTAGGTTGTTTGTTTCTTCAATCTTCTTTTCGATTCGACAGTCTTTTGTAAGATGTCCCACTTTGTCACAGCTGTAACATTTGTAGGAGTTGCAATCCTTCGCGTAATGACCATACTTCCCACACTTGTAGCATTCGAAGTTGGAATGATTCGAACGACCACCTCTTTGACCACGTCCTCTGCCACGCCAATTTTGTTGGCTCGATTGTCCTCTTTCAAATTTGCTACCTATACCACTTCGACCACTATCACGACCTCCACGTCCACGTCCTCTTCCTCAAAAGTTTTGAGAAAAGAGTATCTTTTCGTCTTTGTTCGATTCCTTGGTTAGATTTGCTTCTTCGACTGCTTCTTCTTTCTTTTTCATCTTTCGTTGTTCATGTGCTTCGAGAGAACCAGCGAGCTCTTCGACTGAGAGCGTCGAAAGGTCCTTCGACTCTTCTATTGCACACACAATATTCTCAAACTTGTCTGTTAAAGATCTCAAGATCTTTTCAACAACTCGCGCATCAGTTACTGTCTCTCCATTTCTGGTGAGTTGATTCACCACCTTTTGCACACGTGTGATGTAGTCAGATACAGTTTCTGTGTCCTTCATCTGTATCCTCTCCAATTCGCCACAAAGAGTTTGGAGTCGAACTTGCTTCACTCGATCTGCTCCTTTGAACACTCTTTCTAACGTGTCCCACGCTTGTTTCGACGTAGTCGAACCAACAATTTTTTCGAAGCCTGATTCATCTACAGCCCTGAACAACATATATAATATCGTTTTGTCCTTCGATCGCGTCTCTTTCAACGCTCTCGTTTGAGCTGCCGTATATCCCACAACTTTTATTGGTTTTTCAAACCCTTCATGGGTCACATCCCACGCGTCTAGAGATCCAAGAAGAGTTTTCATTTGGATACTCCAGTTTTCATAATTTGACTTCGTTAGCCGTGGCAACGGCATTTGATTCATCATGTTTGTCATGAGCTCTGATGCCAAATTGATATAAAGAAACAGACTTCGATTTGTTTTATTTTGAGAAAGAGGCAAACCTTTCTATATTGCTTGTTAAATAAAATACACTCTTGGTCCTTATATAGACCCAATGACTTTTACAATTCAGAAAAGATAACTGATACTAATAAAAACTATCATAACTTATTAACTTTTGTCCTTCCAAATTACATTGGTTCTTAATCTTCTTACTACCTTATTTAATATGAAAATTTATTACTAATGACATTAAAATTTACTCAACAGTAACAAGGTTTAGTGTTACTACCAGTGGTGTTAGCTGGAGAAGACCGCGGTGGCGATGCTCTAGGTTGATAGAAAAGAAAAGATGTTTCAAATCTCATATTACAACTAGGCCTTACAACTCTTCCACCAATCTTACCATTACAACAACTTGGAATTTGTTGAAGATTCTCAGACAAACATGAATTGCACTCAGTTTGAGACAAATCAGGTGTACACTGAACCAAACCATATATAACCTCGGGCGTAGGACCAGGTAAACTTCCAGCAGCGTATTTAATCCTAGAATCACCTTTCACAGCTCTACTTGTCAAATCATTCAACAAAGACGTAACAACTTCGTTAGACAAAACAACATCGGATGAATCATTCAAGTTATTCGAGAAAAAATAGGGAGCATCTTCCATGACACCTAATATTAACCGGTTGGAGTAACGCAACATGCATCTTTCGTTTTCAGACCAAAAAATTGCTTCTCTTTGATTTGGACAAACGGTTGTGAGATTTTCTCTTGAGCCGTTGAGACAAGTGCGACAATCACTCGGCAAAAGATCGCCTCGGCAGAGTCCAATTGAATAGACTTTGTCGTTGTTTTCACCGAATGAAAAATTGTAGAAACCGTAGTTGATATCTGTGTTGGAAGTGAGGGTGGTTAAAAGTGTGTTAAGGTTTTTGTGGTAGGTGCTATTGGTTGTGTAGTTAGCTTTGTTGTTGCTTTGATCACAAATATAGTGGGAATTGTTTATTTTGTCATATACAAGTACAGCTATTGTTTGAGATATTAAAGTTATGATTAAGAGAATTTGAAGAGAGCAAAGTAGGGAAGGAATAGGCATAACCATATTGGTTGTGTTTGTGTTCTATTGGGACAAAGAATTGAAGTTGTTATTATTATGACCAAGGTAATGAAGATTGGAAATTTAGCAGTGTGAATCAGGCTTTATGTGGTAGATGTATGAAAAGTCATCTTTGAAAATATTAAATTTTGAACAACTACTCCTCTTACTTTTCAACTCTTATCACTGACTTTTAAGAGTATACCTATAAAATATCTCTTTTTTTAATTGCATTACAATTATTTTTTCTCATGCATAAAAATATTTTGATATATTTGAAAATATCTAACCAATCAAATATTAGCAATTTTTCACTAACCTAATTCAAATCTTATATATTTTCAAAAAAAGAATTATAGAGATATTTCTCATTAACTGCGAATAACGTCTAACAATTATAAACTCAGACTTGGTTCAAAGAGAATTCAAAATATCTTCGTAATCCATAAAAAACACCAACCAACAACTACGAACTACGAATTGAGACTTTGATTCCTCATAAGAGGATACGTAGGCATACAATCTAAAAGTCGTGGCGAGTTCCCCTAATTAAAATTAAAACCCTATTTCCTAAACCGCAAATCTAAACCCTAGTATCCTTGTGAAAAAGGTAGATAAGGGATGCCTAACACCTTTCATTCGTCTAAAAATGAGTCAACAACCTAGAATCTCTGACCAAATTAGGATTATCTGTTTTACTCCCTTCTCTAGAATAAAAATTAATGGTGGAAACTCTCATTTTTAAACAGGTTACAATAATTGGTGACTCTGCTGAGGACTCAACCCTAGGATTTAGAAGCCTTCCTCTTAGGTCTAGGGTTTTTGTTTGAATTTTTTTAGTGTTTTCAATATTTACTTTATTTATTTATTTATTCATTTACTTTTATTTATTATTATATTATCTGTTTATCATTTTTTGGAGGGATTTTATTTATAAAAAAATTATTTTAAAAAATAAATCCTTAGAAAGAAGGTTCGTCTATTGGCCAAAGGGATGCATTATCCCTATAAGTTTTTGTGATCACTTCGTCTAGAGTCGATGAAATTCCAAAAAAAAATACGTCTCAAGAGATATCCTCTTGGGGGATAGTACTTTGGAATAAAACCTATGCCTTTTTGTATAACCCTTAAACCAAAATCACATGGTGAGACCTTTCATGACCTTAGAGACGAAAATTTCAGTCTGCAAAACGGCTCCGCTTAAGGGAGGCCCTGGTGCCTTTCCCTCTAGTGTTATCCATGATATCCTTATCCATAGGCCAAAACTAGGACTCTACCAACTAAGGTTATCTTTCATGAAATCCCGTTACTATGCCACACAATCATACTTCCATATACTTACTGTATAATTTAGTTTTAGTGTAGTTATGTATCGTTTGATAGTTTTTTATTCATTTTGTAGGTATTGATGCGTATTTGGAGCATGAGCAATAAAGTATCGAAGACACGACTTCAAACGCGCGATTTTGAGCAATTCATCAACAAATAAGGCTCAAAAATACATATGATAATAATCATAAATTTAGTTAATATTTAGTCACTGTTGGATAGGAAATTGAATAAGCTTTACAATGCTTCCGATCGTGCGTAAATCGGAGTTATAGTTTTCAAGTTATGGAGAAAACAAGTGTTTTTTTTTTCATGACAGCACAGAGCACGCTAAGCGCCCGATTTGGGGTTAAGCGTGGTCTGCGACTTTGAAACTCATTAAATAGGGAAACAAAATATAATTTTAGGTTATGGGTTGGGTATTTTTGAGTCCCAACATCATCAAACCCATATTTGGGATGAGATAACCTAGAAAACAACAATGGATCATGCATCTTGATGATTTGGAGTCAGATTTCTCATCAATCGGCGCTGACAACCCGCGAGATGTTTGGTTTTTCTTTATTTCTTCTCTATGTATTTCTATACTTGTTGGGTTATGTTTGTATATTTACTTTGAACATATGTATATTTGTTAATCATGGTGTTGTATAAAGCTTGCTTTACAAATCATTGTTGATGTCTTTCTTAATCTTTTTGCTTTATGTTTGAATTTAGATTGTTATAGACATATAAATCATAAATCTTTATTAGGGATGAATATCTATTAGTTTCTAGATTCTAGAGATAGATTTAGAGCTAATAATCGTTGTGGGTATCAGAGCTTAATGTCTCTGTGTTGTTTGTGTTATGAAATCGTTAACGCGAGTAATACAGTTGTCTTCAACTTTGCGTTAGACATAACCTCTGTAGTGGAATATTTTGAGAGATACTTGATGATTTTGATGAGTATTGTAGATTGAGTGCAACTGATCGATAGATTTAAGTTTGTTTTGAGTAGTGTAAATTCATGCTTGATAAGTTTTTCTCTCCAAAGAATGTATTTTTTTTCTTATTCATATGTTTAATTCCCGCATTTACTTTAAACTCATTCAAATCCAAACTTATAAACGTGAGAAATTACCGACAATTCAGTAGCACTAATTCATGTGGAGAAGATATGATAAAACTAAATAAATACTTACTTTTGTTTGCCGCTTTACCGCTTCAGCACACCTCCCTCAGAGAATGTGATAAAGATCAATGTAAATTGTTATTTCATTGGTAATCCAGGGTCATCCAACTTTGACGGTCTTTTGAGAAACTCTTTTAGAGATTGGGTCATAGATTTTGTAGAAAGTTGTGGTTTCACCTCTAATATTAATGTCAAACTTCAAGCCATTTTTCATGATCTTAATATTACTTAGAATCATGATTTCAGAAATGTGATTTTCAAATCTAACTCTCAAATGACTTTGAATTTTATTCCAAAGGACGTGCCTTATACTCATCCTTTTGCGTCTCTGGTAAAATATATCCAATATCTTATTCATAAAGACTATCAGCTTGTCTTTATTCACACTTTACACAAAAAAAAATGTTATTGTTGATTAACTTGTAAAATTGAGAGTCTCATTTGTTTAAGAATTGAAAATAATGTATCTTACAAATACCTCTCGTTGAATCAAAACAGAGTTCTTGAACACCAATCCGAATCATTATGAATCACAGATGTATTTTCACACTTGGATGAAAGAATATGATTCCTACTATTATTTTATGAATTTGCTACTGTAGAAACTCGTTGGTAATATCTCTATTTACAATAAGTAGTTATTTTCTCTAAGATTATGATTTGAGATTAACATATTTAAGTTATTCTAACCATGTCATGCATAATTTTTAACTCACATTATTAATATTTATTTATGATGTTTAAGTTATTGTTGTGTGTAGTGTTTTTATTTGCTTTATTATGATGTAATTTATTTTAAATCATAAATCATTACTAACAATAGGTTTTATAATTGAACCTAGAATGGTTTAAAATTTGTAAATTATTTATTATCATAATTGTTTTTTGTGAATTGATATCATAATTTATCTCACAAAAAGGGGAAAATATATTAGTTTAATATTTATTCACATATGCTAATAAACTATAAATGAGACCGAATTATGAGCTACATTACACAACATAATTAAATATAGGTTAGAAAATTATACTACGAGATTTATATTTAATATAAATTGAAACCGGGTTTTATCACAACTCAACTCAACATTACAAGAAATTTGATATTTACTAACGGTAATAATTTGTTGGTAAAGAGAAAAAACCTATATCAACAAATATTTGTTTCCGTCAACTATAATTTCATATACCCACGACAAATTTCCGTCCCAATATCTTATACCAACGAAAATTTTGAGGGTTGGTTAAAATTTCAAGACTATAACAACGATTAATTACAATATTTATTAAATTTATCCACCACATATTTCTGTTGGTATAAGAAAAATTTACTGTTGGTATATGTCTCTTTTTTACAAATATTTATGTAATGTAATTAATTTTTTTAATAATTAATTTTTTTTAATAATTAATTTTTTTTAATAAATAACTTTTTAACAATTTATTTTTTCTATATACACCACACAAAATTAAAAACAACATAAAAAAATTTCAATTACATTATCAAAATAATAAATCTTATAAACATATCAAAATAACAAAGTAATGTCAGTTATATAATAATAAATACCAAAATAAATGCTACAAAAACACAAAAGATAAAATAAATTTCTAATCTTCCTCTCTTCTATCTTTATTGGTTCATGAACTTCGAGAATTTGTGTGGTTTGGGGCAATAGAAGCATCTGGAGCCTATTGAAAATAAAATAAAATAAAATAAGTTACAAATTGAATTTAATAAATGTTTTCATAATATTCGAAATATGAATTCGAACTGTAAAATACAATATACTTTTCTTGCGACTTGTAAAATAATATTCAAATCTTCTTGAGATAATCGATTTTGTATCACTGACATCATATTTGACATGAAACACATTTGTCCTCTCTTGACTTTCTCGTATTTTCTTAAGTTCATCCCTTAACTCTTAATTTTCAGACAAAAAAACTTTTGATTTTTTAGATTTCAGAATATTGCATATACAACACACACGTCCCCTCTTTTCAAGTTCTTTTACTTGGAAATAAATGTCATTCTTCCAAGACATATAATTTTGTGTCTTTTCACTACAAGAAAAAAGCCCTTTAGCTAGGGGTTTAACTCCTCACTAAGGCAAAAAATACCTCACAAAGTCAACATTTGCGAGGGGACATAACCCCTAGCTAAATCACTGGTCGCAGATTAGGGGCGAGGGGCTAAGCACCTAGTCAATTAGCTTGGGGTTAAACCCCTCGCTAAAGGCAAAATATGATTGGCCATTGGCTAGGGGCTTTACCCCTAGCTAAATATCATCCTGCTTTTGCAGCAGGCGCTCAGTAAATGCAGGGAGTGTGCAGGGAAAGCGTGCATAGTATATGTAATATTAGCTAGGGGGTTTACCCCAAGCTAAAAACCATAATTTATTTTTTAAATTATAAACGTAATTATTTAATTTATTTATTATTATTATATTTATAACCAATTAATTTCATAATTATAATTTAATAAAATAAAAAATTCAAT